TGGTTAGGGCTGGTAGTCTTTTCTTAAGTCATCGATACATCTTAACCCTATGTGGAATCTAGCAAGTTTACCACTCTCTGGGCTTGAAGTTTTCTTTAAGCAAATCCCTAGTACCTACCAGCTGATAGCTAGAGATTGGTGACTGGGTAAAAGCCACAGGAATTTCCTGTGAAAGAAGGTGACTCTTCAGTATCCACCAGGGGCACCTGAGATCATGGTGTCATTCTTCTTCAGAATTTTTTTCTATCCCACTATATATTTCCTTTTCCCTTTAGCTTCCCTATATCCAAGGCTTCTAAATTACACTCACTGCCTAAACATCCGCACTGACCTCAAAAGGGTGTTCACTCTGAGTGTAAGTACATTTGGAGATTTGGTGGTCAGTATCAACAATTTGCTTGACCCCTATGCCACCTCAATTCTTTTTGAGAACACAGTATGTGCTGCCCCCTAATCACAAAAAATAAATGTTATCAGAAATAACATAGTTAACATAATAGGTTCTCAAAGTGTGCCCATCATCAGCATCACCAGGAAACACATTAGAAATGCAAATTATCAGGCTTCCCCCCAGACCTATGAATCTTGGCAGGGATGGTGCGGGGGCATTGACCAGCAATCAGGTACAATATTGTTCAGGTGATTGCAATGCATGCTCAAGTGTGAGAAGCACCAGATCACCATATTTCCATCCACAAAGAAACCAGTGATTAGCATTAGTGTAATCAGTTGTTAAAACAACCTGAAAATGCCTCCTGCTGATGACCATTTGATTCTACAGCAAGCCATCCATTCTTTCATGATGGCGTGGAAAGTTTCCAGATCCACATGCAGGTCTCTCCTGTCAGGATCAAGCATGTTCCATAGCTCCTCAAAGCCACCGTCTTTAGAATCTTGACTAGTTATTTGTCTGAGGTAATCTATTATTTTGACAATTCTTACTGAGCCTTAGGAAGAGAAAAGGAAAATTAGTTTTGAAAGATGGGTTAAGAGCATTTTTTATAAGTGAGGTGCTTAACTCTCCCAGGTTCCTTGGATCCTGTGAACATGCCCTATGACAGTGATGGCGAACCTATGACACGCGTGTTAGAGGTGACACGCGAACTCATTTTTTTGGTTGATTTTTCTTTGTTAAATGGCATTTAAATATATAAAATAAATATCAAAAATATAAATCTTTGTTTTACTATGGTTGCAAATATCAAAAAATTTCTATATGTGACACAGCACCAGAGTTGAGTTAGGGTTTTTCAAAATGCTGACACGCCGAGCTCAAAAGGTTCGCCATTTCTTTGTTACTAATGTTGTGGCCTCACTCGATATCAAAGAAACAGAATTTCCAGAGAATGAGGCCCAGAAATCAGGATTTTAAAAAGATTCAGAGGTGATTCTAATGTGCAGCCAAGGTTGAGAACCACTGCTCTAGATGTACCAGCTGAGTGGATTAGGGAAAATTACTTACTAGTAGTCTCTTTGAGCCTCAGTTTCCTTATCTATGAGATGGGGATGGTACAGGACCTGTACAAAATGAGCCTAGAGGTTTTTATACTGGGGAAAACACTAATCAAGTAACCAAAGTTAAAAATCCTGATACACTGTACTGAGAAGAACACATCACTCTGTAATGTCTGTGAAAATGTCTAACCTGAATAATCAAGAAATATCAGACCTTCTACAGAGTAAGTGGCCTATACTCTGAAAATTTCAAGGTCATAAAAGACAAGGTATCTGAGTAACTGTTCCACATGTGAGGAGACTAAAGATATGGGGCAACTAAATACAAGAAGTGAGTCTGAACTGGATCCTGAACCAGGAAACAAAAAGGCTATAGGGTACATTATTGGGATAACTGACAACATTTGAATATAGAATTTTGAATTAGATTATGGTATTGTATCAATGTTAGATATCCTGATTTGGATAACTGTTCTGCCATCATACAAGCAAATGTCCTTGTTTATAGGAAATACACACTGATGTACTTAGGTATCTATAATAATAAAAGTGTAATATGCTAATTAGATAGGACGAAGCTGGGGCTGTGAGGGAAGCCTGGGTCCCAGGTGCCAGAGGGAAGCAGTGCTGGCAGTCGGGGTAAGGAAGGCCTACTCTTGCACGAATTTTGTGCACCAGGCCTCTAATATATATATATATATATATATATACACACACACACACACACACACACACACACACACACTCTGAGTGGCTAGATTATTATGACCACCTGATGTATATTCCAAATAAAACAAAACCACATTATGGGAGGAAATGGTTGAAGGTTATAAAACAAATCACTAACAATGGTCACTTAGGGGAATAGGATTACTGATGGTTTTCTCCTTCCTTTTTGCTTATCTATATACTATTAAATTTACTACAATGAGTATGAATCATTCATGTACTAAAAATTACTTGCGGAAATTTTAAAAAAGCAGAAGTGAAAATCTAAAATTAAAAAATTTGAGCTAAATGTGTATGTGGTTTTATACATTATGAAGTATGTCTTTCTTCTGTGGCAACACCTATGACATGTCAGTAGTTCCATCAATAATTGGAGTTTGTTCACCAGTTGATAAGCTCAATAAAATCATTCAAACACTGGTAAAACATGCAAAAAACACAAAGAAATTATAAAGACATAACCAATACCTAAATAGCCATCCTTCCTCTCAAATTAGGTTGCATCCACCACGTGTGTGGAGACAGGTCCACAGAGCACAACAGGTAAACCATTTCCCCTTCTCTCACAATAGAAAGCACAAGGACTTGATGAAAACCACAAACATTTCAGCAGGTAATTTTCAACTTACCTCTGCAGCTTGTGTCACATGCATGAAAAACGCTTGTGAGGAACTCTTCACAGGTCCTGTTAATGCCATCATCCGTGTCTAGTTTCCATCCTATTAGACGAAAAGTTTGTAAATTTCAAACATGCTTTTCTGTGCTACAATGATTAACTAGTTTGTTTTAATTTTAACAAAGGACACATTTAAATAAACAGCAACATACAGTACTGGTTACTTAACTTAAATAGGCCAGGCAAAGAAAGTGGACTTGAAAGATCCATTATTCATTTTTTCTTTTAATTTATGTTTTATAAAAGTAGGGGGGAAAAGGAGAGATGAAAGGAGAGGTAAATGAGCTTTCTTTTTATTTTTTTTCTTTTATTTTTTTTTGCCTTGTAATATTAAAAGTACTCTGAAAAAGCAAGTAGTATGACAAATAGAGAAGTAGAGGGGGAAAAGAAACTTAGCTATACAGAACATGTGTCATTTTACACTGCTTTTTCACTGTTTTGTTTTCCGGTGCCTTTCATATAATGGACTCTGTAAGCAATCCCCTAAGCAGAATTCCAGGAATTTCTATTGAAATTGGCCTGCAAACTTTACATTCTCCTCTGGCCTGACTTACTGGCTCTACTGGGAATCCATACTTTCTTTTTACACGTTTTATTCTCACACAATAACTAAATAAATAAATACATTAATGAGTTACTTTTTAAAATGCTAAAATGCTAGTTTTCAGCAAGGGACCTGGGAACTATATGAATTTGAACTTCCCTGGATCTATGTATTGCCATCATAACATTCTCATTTGCCCTAGAGAAAGTTGTTTTCAGGTCAGTAGAGAAATACCAACAATTATGATTATAAATGCAATCCAGAATTTCTATGAGGTTTTTACTTGAAATCATAGAAAATACATTTTACATATAAAATGTTCTTTTAAGACAGAAAAAATTAAATAGGGAAATATGGATGTTTCTATCCAAGCTTTAATAATGTGAATTGGTTGTGTGTGTGTGTGTGTGTGTGTGTGTGTGTGTGTGTGTTTAGTTCAGGTATCCTGAAAGTGATATGTTTATTGCTTTATTGAAAGAACATTAAAAGATGAATATTTACCATCTTCATTCAGAGACCAATTTTTCCCCACTGAATCCTGAGGAGTAAAAATTTCAGAGCTTTGATCAGAGGTGGAATCAAAGTCAAGTCTTAAGATACTAAAATGATTTTCACTCCCATGGTTATTCAAATCCTTGTTAGAGAAGGACTCCCGCTTTCTGGTCTGTGATACCAACGATACGTAATTCTGGGAGCTCTGTGATCTCAGCCTTGAGATGTTTTCAGAACTTTTGAGGATGGGGTAGGTTGCATTCTCAGGGGAGCTGAGCTGAGAGACGGACGGGGTTCTCGGAGACCCTGTTTGGGGAGATGAGATGAGCGCATCATCTTTTTCAGGAGCTGAGAAGTGAGTGTTGGGTGTAGGAATGTGAGCAGCAGCCATTTTCTTCAGTATCCCTTCAAAATCTTCCCTTGTGTTAGCCTGTGGACTATCAAAACTGCTGGATTGGTACTTGATAATCTGTTGACTCTGATTGGAAAGCTCTTCCCTCTTTTGGATGGCTTTGATTTTCCTACAGATGCTTTCCACTGGGTTATGCCGCCTCTCAGTTCCCTTCCTCTCAGAGGCCATCGCTGACGTCCTCGCGTTCTGCAGTTGAAATGGCTGAAGTGCAGCAGAAGTAAACATGTGTCTTAAAGTCAACATCATCCTAAGTACAGTTTAGCAATAGGCTATTTATTCTTAAGTCAGCTTTGGAGGGATCAAGATAAGATATCTTTAACTAACGGTTCTTAAACAATTGCTTTAAACAACTTTCCATGGGTTTAACTTTGGCACTCAAATTTCTAGAGAATATTAACAGTTAACATATATAAAATACTTATCACATGCCAGGCATGGTACTAAGTTCTTTATCAATGTCAACTCATTTCATCCTCAAAACAGCTCATGAGGTAAGCCTTACTATCATCTCCATTCTCAGGCAAAAAGAGAAAAAGGGAGACACCCACAGAGTCACCCAGTTAGTACCAGAGCCCAGATCTGAACCCAGGGGTTCCTTCAGAAGCTGACTCCTAACCATATTGCTTTCCATTTATAATTATAGGCCAAATAAGATGATAATGGCGAAGATGCTAACAGCTCCCATTTGAGTACCTGTTCTGGTTCTCATCTATTGAGAACTTACTATGTCAGGCATTTTACAGGTGCTATGTCTAAACTTTACACAAAGCCTGTCAGATATATGAAAATATCCTCTTTTAAGAGATAATATAACTAAGGCTCTACAAGATAAAGTAACTTGATAATGGTCACATCTTTGATATTTGAGCCAAAGGGTGTCTGACTCTAGCATAATTTTATTTAACGGCAGGATATATGACCTTAAACAAATGACTGCTCAAAATCCAGAATCACAGATACAGAGACGCATTGGTGGTTGCCAAAGGGGAGAGGGCCTGGGGGACAAAATGGGTGAAGGGAATTAAGAAGTTCAAACTTTGAGTTATAAAATAAATAAGTGATGGGAATGTAATGTACAGCGTAGGGAAAATAGTTAATGTTATTGTGTAGACTTTGTAAGGTGACAGATGCAACCAGACATATTGTGAAGAGCTTTGCAATGTAAACAAATGTCAAATCACTATGTTGCACACTTGAAACTAATTCATGTTGTATGTCAATTATACCTTAATAAGATAAGAACTTATGAGACAGTACTTAAGGAATTTGAAAATAAGTCCAAAATTTTGTCTAAACTGATAAAACCTAAGTTACTCTAAGCAAAGAGTTACAATAGTTTGAATAGTTGCAATGAGTTTGAAAGTTATGATTTTTTAGGACCTTAACAAAAATTTCTACTCAGAAATTTAGGGAAAAAATCCCTAATTGAAAATGAACAAAAGCTATAGGATTTTTAAAAGAACTATAATTGGAGAAGGTACTTGGACTGGGAAGAAGAAGGCATTCAAAGTCCTCTTAATATACTTTTGTTTTACTTCAACATGATGGCCATCAGTTCCAGCCAATAAAATTTCCACCAACAGAATTCTTTACTATTTAATAATCACTTTGAACCTTTTTGTTATCACTTGACAATACCCTTCTTTCTATGTATTCCAATGTTATCTTTCAGTGCCGAGTCTAAAACACCTTCCTCTATTCAAATCCTAGAAGCAGTATCTCATTGGACTCAACTCTTTCTGCTCTGTTCTAGTATGTATATTGTCATTTAATTGAATTTTGTCTTCTATTTTTGGATTGCTTCAAATGTGTATACATGTTGTTTTCTCAAAAACATTTTTAATGTTTGCATTCAAAAGTGATGATGTGATTCTTTCTAGATACTCAATGCAATATTGGCATAATTGATAACCCGCAATTCTATATCATGCAACTACCAGGCTGGTGGACTCGTCCGCCAGCTGTAGTGAGTGTTGACTCTCCACTAAGCAGTTACTTCCTTTTCTGCAGAATTTCCCCTGGCCATCCAGGAGCTGCTCATTGCTCAACAGGCAGGTGCGAAGTGAAGTAGTGGCAACAATAGAAGAGAATCCACCTGTGAATACAACATTTTCCAAACATATGGCTGACTATGGTGGTGACATAACAGAAGCCACCTGACTTTCCCTGTCCAGTGAAGAGCCCTATAAAAGACTGGTTAAGTGTTTGTCCTGTTCTCAATGTGGTGCCAGAGAACTGAAGCACAGGTTGAGCACAGGGATAACAGAAGCCTTGGAATCAGAACCTCAGAATCCCAGATCCTGTTTGCCCTCTTTGTTGAACATTAATGTGATGTTCAAGTCACAATGAAAGACCTTGCTTTGTGGGCCTTTGTGACTGATCAGAAGGATCTCTTGCCCTTTGAGAGGAACCTAGAGAGTATTATGCTAAAGGAAATAAGCCAATCAGAGAAAGGCACGTATCACATGATCTCACTTATATGTGGAATCTAATGACCAAAATAGATCCAGAAACCAAGAAGCATGGAACAGACTGACAAATCTCAGAGGGAAGGGGTGGGGAACAGGAAGAGATTAACCAAAAACTTATAGGCTCATGTATATATAACCATGGACACAGACAATAGTGCAGTGAAGCCTGGGGTGGGAGTAGGGTGGAGAAGGTCAATGGGCGGAGGGGGGAAGGAGGGACATCTGTAATACTCTCAACAATAAAGGTAATTTTTAAAAAACGTTCCTAGCATTTAAGACACACATTTCTATTTGATTTTCCAAGGCATTTTTCTCCTACCATCTGGTTTCTGAATTTCCATAACTCACCTAAGTGAACCTGCTCCACAGTTTAACTAAACCTTATGAAGAGTACACGTAAGACACAAACTCTTCATGAGCTAACAGAACTTGACAAGATTCACTTGTTTTGCTTTTTCTAATACAGAGCAGAACATTTGTGGGAGTTTAATAAGTACAATGTGATGATAAAGATTTCAAAATTTGTGCTACGTTCTCCATATATGGCCTGGAAACATCTCCTGTCTGTCCTGTCCAAACCTCTTTTTTAGTTTTAGTTTTAGTTTTAGTTTTAGTTTTAGTTTTAGTTTTAGTTTTAGTTTTAGTTTTAGTTTTAGTTTTAGTTTTAGTTTTAGATTAGCTGCAATCAGCCTAGCACTTAAAAATACAAGTTTACCTTGATTTGTGCAATAACTATCTTTGAAAAAATACGAACTGGAAATTAAACACTGAAACTTAATTGTACCAGCAGAATCAGTTGCTTGGAGTCTCTTTTAAAGGAACTTCCTCCTGATTTATCCATTTTCGTTGATTGAACAGTTACTATGTAGAGATGGTACACTTGTAGAAACCCCAATGGCAAGGATTCTTGTTTTTAAGTTCTTGAATCTTAGTGGACTCCATATCATTCATCCCTCTAGGCATTCAACCAATACTTATTTAGCATCTAAAGAGTGCAAAACCCTATGCAGATACTGGAGATACAATGATGAGCAAATGCTCTCCTAAAACTTGTATTCTCTGGGAGATGCAGATATGAGCAAGTAAGTCAGCAGGATCACCAGATTAAATCCAGGGTGCCCAATAAAATTTGAATTTCAAATAAACAATGGTTATCCTTTTATCATACATATGTCACAAAAGTTGCATAGGAAAAACTTATATGGAAAAATTTGTTGTTTGCCTGAAATTAGAATTTCATTGTGTATCTTTATATATTTTTTGTTATCTAAATCTAGCAATCCTAAAGCCCCCAGATAAATAATTACACACTGGAAAAGAAAGGTGCCAGGGACTATGAGAACATATAATAGGGGGTTATTCTAGTTTGGCAGTGAAGACAGAAAAAAATTGGGGGGCATCTATTATGTGTCATGCACTGTGCTATACAGATTGTTTGCTAAATCCATGGTTATAAACAGAACATTAAAAAGTAGAGCCATAAATCCCATCTGGATTCCCGTGAGCTAAATGTAATATAAAATAATGTTAGAGATTATACAAACCAATTATTTCACCTACTTAATATTATTTCTCCTACTGATCGAACTATGCCTCATCCGAATTTCTACAATCTGAGTCCTGTTGTTATTATTATTGCCTGAATTGCCTTGTTGTTGTAGTAAAAGCTCTTGAATCAATAATTTTCAACCACCGCCTTGATATAAAACTATAAAGCAATAACTAAAAGCCGCAAAGCAATAATTAAAAGTCTCTGGTGCATGGCAGCATAAAACAAGTGTGATTGTTTCTTATCTAAAGTTAGGCTACTCATTGCATATCCAATTTCCACCTGTGATGTAACTGCAGCGTTCAGCATTAACCTCTAAGAATTTTGCACTCTTTGAAACTTACAGAAATAGTCAATAGGTTAGAATAAATTCACCATGTGTGTACAGTATAGACAATATTTCATATTCTTTTTAGAATTTACAGACAAACATAAGATCATTGTGTTTTTTAATATCCATATCTTTCAATCACTAAGAAAACAGCTGAATTTCTTTGCAAAGAAAGACATATGATATAGACAAAGATAGAAAAAATAGAATCCTTGAAAAAGTCAGCAGATTCAAAAAGATCTTTAGAAAGCATGAATCTAACTCGGACTAAGAAAAAAAGTTATGCTAACAATGTTATCATCTTTCATTTCCAGCCATTTACAATGCTCTCCCTTTACTAATAGTTGTTTCTTAAACATTGAACTTACAAACTTTAAATTAGGTAGTTTATTTTAACAATCATTCAATACTTATGAAATCCATGCAAAACTTTCACCTAAATGAATTCCACTTGGTAGTTTAATTAAGGCAAACCCTTAGTCAATGTATGTAAAAAATTAAATATATATCTGGGCATAGGCATACCTTGGAGATATTGTGGGTTCAGTTCCATGCCACCACAACAAAGTAAGTCAAAATCTTTTTGCTGGTGGTGGGTTTTGCCTTTAATTTGTAAAAAACACAACATTCTTGAAGTGCAATGAGGCAAAGCATAAGAAAACCAGGTATACCTGTGTATGTACATAGGTAACCAAGGGATTCCTTTTGCTGAAAGAGCCCGTTGCTAGCAATTAAGTGCCAGCAAACTCTTCATCAAGACATAAGAAGGAACATCTGTTCACTGAGATGTTCCCAAGAAACTTATCTTTAGCTAACCCAGAGGGAGAGCAGAGCATGGCTTTCTACTTAGCCAGTAAGTTTTACATTTGCCAAAGTACACCCTCTTCAGTCTCTTTGTGACTTGAATTTAATGTGATAAACTAATAACACTTACTGTTTCCTGCCTTCTGTAGGATAGATGATAGCAGCTGCTAAAAAATGATTTGCAAACCACAAGTTCCAGATTTAGCAATGCCCAGCGAGGCTGCCATCTGCAACCCTGTTTGATTACTAATAAATGCAAGCTGGTATAGAATGAAACCTTTTCCTCCCACCATTCCCTTCACCTTGTTATATTAAGCTCCTTGGCTGGGTCACACCCAACGTATGATAAACACCTCACATTGGAACAATTCCTTAAATAGCACAGTCACACACATGCCTCTGAAAACTGACAGTGTCCTTCTGTTTCAGTTCTTATTCTGTGAAGTCTGCTTTTCGTCTCAGAAACCAGGAGAAAACCTATGATACGTAAATCTCTGACTCAAAGCACTGAGGTGCTTCCAGATTCTTACCGTCTACAGAACCACGTGACCAGTTCCCACTAACACACATTCCAAACGATCAAGGCTGAAAATGACAGTTCAAGACTTTAGGTAGCTAAAGCCCCTTTGAAAACAACTCTGGGATTTGCCTGTGGTGAAAGCTACATTTCTGGGGAACCTAGCTTTATCACTTCCAGCCACCCATCTTTTCCCCAATTTTCTCAGTGTTCAGGTTTTATTCCTAGATTTGTTTCAAGGTTCCAATGAACTTGGAATATAGACTGATATGGGAGGTTGGTCTCATTTGCCACAAGCATGTTGAGCTTGGGTTTGGGGTGAGGAGACAATAGAGAGGCTACATCTGGGATTGCTTTTCCCTGTTTAGGGCAGGACTTGTTCCACCATAAATGACTAAGGGAGATAGCACCCACCAAAATTTACTTCCTTGGGGGGAAAACTTACCACCTTATTTTCACTTCACCAGCACTCCAAGAACCATCTTCGGAGAACTGGGAATTGGGAATGAAGGCCCCGGGGATCAGGTGGTGTGGGTGGAGCTAGCTTCCGCAGGGTTATGTGGAGTGAGGTGAAAGGCCGAGGCTGGAGAACAGGGAAGCCACTGATGAGCTACACCTGCCTCTTTGGTTTTAGCCAAGACCATGAGAAGATGGGTGTGAGGGAAGACACGTGGGAGGAATGAGGGCGACCTCTTTGGGTGCATCCATGCCATTTGGGGGCGCTCCCACCAAGTCGATCACAATGAACTAATAAAGATCATTCAGAATATACTCTTTAATTGGGTTGAAGAAAAAGACACTTTTTAAGTTAAACGTCAGACATTTCTATTGGGCCAGGTGCTGGGTGGTTTCTAAAACATTAATGCTGTTAATCATTGTCTTTTATGGGACCATGGCTGGTCTGGGAGACAAGATATATAAATTATATAAAGAAGCACATGAGTGGGACATTAAGCTCCATGGGAAGTCAGAACAGAATGAGCTCGGTGTGGGTTGCGAAGCCTTTAAAAATAGATGGGACACAAGCAGGGCTTTCAGTAATGAAATATTTTGGAAGCCAGAGGCTTGGACAAACCTGGGAGGTGGGGTGGCATGCAACTTGTGGTTTTGGCAGCACGAGGTGAACAGTCTGATGAAAGCTGGAGATAGTTGGGAGGTTGTGGAGTAGTAATAAAATAAAGTAAATATATATGTATACATGTTTAGATCGGTAGCATACAGATTCAGAAATGAATCAAATTTTCTATAATTCCATTTCCCGTTCCACAAAAATATGTTCAGCTGGGACAAACGTTTTAAAAACAGAACAAAATAAAACCTACCCCAAAACAAACAAAAAAGCACACGAGGATCAGGGTTGTAAACACACCGCCCAAAGCATCGTAACTGGAACTGAAATTCTGTCTCCAACTGGCAGTTTTACTTCCTACGCAAGGGGCTTCTTCAGCCACACCACTCGGGTCCCTAATCACACGCTTCACAGACCCCCGCTTCGGTGCTTTCCTACTTCTCCCCAGGTTTCCGTCTCCCCCGCTCCTTCTAGGGCGCTCAGCAGATCTCTTCTATCTGATCCTATGCCTGTGGGTCATCGTTCCTGTCACCAAGTGAGAGGGAAGGACTGTCATAGTTAAAAGTTGGGCTCTGGATTGAAATAACCTGACTTAAAATCCCAGCTCTGCCCTCACCAGTGTTGTGACCTTAGACAACTTAACTCCCTGTGCCTCAGTTTCTTCACCAGCAAAAGTGCATCAATCTCATGAAGGACTCCTGGGTTATTGCAGGAATGAAACGAGATCACACATGCATGGCACACTTTCTGAAACGCCTTTCACTTACTCAGATATTTGATGTCGTCTTAAAGCCCAGCAAGAGATGACCAGCTAACTCATTCCTCGCATTAGTCTTGCTCTGTTCGATTTCCCATCAAATGAAATGTCACATCCATACTTGTGATCTTCCTATCACTACACAGATATCGAAACTAGCAACACCCAGGGAGATTTCCCTCCTAGTCATAAAGGAAGCCGGCGGTGGAGCCAGAAATAATATTCAAGTTCTGAATCCACTAGACTATGTCACCTGTCTGGTAAATGATACTCTTACTTCCTCTTCCAACTAAATGCCTCACACCTGATGTTTCTCAGAGCAGTGAAAGGAATGACCTGAATAAATATCAATGGCTCTGCAATGAACTGAATGAAGATGTTATTTCATTATTCACTGATTGATTGCCTCGTGCTTATTCTAACACAGCGATTTTCAACCGTGTGCCACGCCACTCTAGGGTGTGCCACAAAAAAATGCAAACCATACAATACCTGACTATTTGGTCAGGGGCACTGACCTTTTCTTCCTTAGATTATCAAATAAAAGAAATGACAACAGCCAACACAACAATAGCTGTCAGTGTGAATGAATCAAAATTATACCTTTTTTTTTTGTCAGATCGACAGAACATATATCTTTTGGTGTGCTGCAGGGTTTTAGTAACTAGTTTGTGTGCCATGAGATGAAAAAGGTTGAAAATCGCTGTTGCAACAGAACGCCTTCCTCAGCTTCTCTGCTGGGAACAGCACTCATGAGTGTGGGTTCCTCTGGTACCTGCCCCAGGCAGGCAGCCAGGAAGGTTCAGTCTCACCCTGGCCAATGTGGCTCAGTGGTTGGAGCATTGGATTGTGCACCAAAGGGTCTCAGGTTTGATTCCTGGTCAAGGGCACATATCCCCACTCCTTGCACCTGTCCTGGCAAGTGCTGGGGGCAAGTGCAGGAGGCAGCTGATAGATGTGTCTCTCTTACATCCATGTTTCTCTCTCTCACCCTCCCTCCTTCTCTTCCACTCTCTCTAAAAGCAATGGGAAAAAAATCCCCAGGTGAGGATTAACAACAGCAACATAAATAATAATCTATGTATATAAAAGCCTAAGCAACTATTACCACCATTGGACTGGTTGCTATGACGACATACTGACTACCAGGGGGCAGATGCTCAATGCAGGAGCTGCCCCCTGGTGGTCAGTGCGCTCCCACAGCCAACCTCCTGTGGTCCTTCCTCCTGATCAGCCAGCCCCGATCAGACCCTCGATCACCAGCCAGGCCAAGGAACCCCACCCATGCACAAATTCGTGCACCAGGCCCCTAGTAATTAATAAAGTATGTAAGCCAGAAAGGTTCAGTCTCCACTGAGACAGTTTCTCCACCCCCACACAGGCTCTGTTAAGGCTTTGTTAATGTGGGATAACATGCAGACGTCACTAAAAGAAACCCAAGATGGGGCTTTGGCTTTTGGATATACTGTAGGTAGAGATGGTAACAGCATGTTCACTTGGCAAGTCCTTTCCCCTTAAGGCACATTGACCAGAAGGAGCCCTTATGTTGCCAGACCTGAAAGCAGCTGTCTGTCTTGTTATAATCAGAGAGCCTCTGAGAGACTCCCTCCCCAGTCTTCAAAATAACCTTTCAAGGAAATTAAATCATGCCATGTAAATAGCATATATATGTATGACACAGCCCCTTCTCTCTAATGCAATCTGTGATGTTGTTAGACATTAGCCAGTAGCTAGATCTCTGGGATTCATCTCTGGTTGGTCCAAGAGACCATTTTGTCTAACCAAGAGTAGATTGGAGGTGGAGAGGGGCATGATGAGAAGAAAACCAGACGGTGGAACCCTCCTTTAGTATAGGTGGGCCCAAACATAACACTTTTTTTTTAATCTGCTCTGTGTAAGATGCACTATTTCTTATGAGGTACTCTCTAGTGCCCTTATAGTCTAGAAATCGTTGCCTTTAAATTGCTTTCTGTTAATCAAATTTTAATAAGCAAAGGCAGTGTCTTCAAGAAGCCAATTTCATAAAGATATTGTCCCAGAAAGAAAGGGATTGGGAATTCTAGTGATCTATGGGCTTCATTCTGAAAAGGAAGAACGCAGAAGTGAATACTGAGGAAGGAAAATTGGCAACATAGTTTTGGAGGGAGTTTAAAGTAAAGCAAGGCTCTGAAGATATCACCAAGGTATGTATCTCTGAATGAAAATCACCTGTTGCCCTTCCAGATCTACCCTCTGGAAATAAAGCAAGGTCTACTGACCCCCATTGACAGCCTCCCTCTGCCCCTCCCCTCCTGCCCTTTGATTTCCCATTGAACTTGGCCAGGAAGAGGCACCAACAGAGAATAGGTGGGCAGGAGGGCCAGGGCCTGAGCTATGCATTCTCCTGGCTTCCACCCTCCAGGCCTGTCTGAGAGTGGCTCAGGCTTTTCCTCAGCTCCTGTCGCGTGACAGTCCTCACTTGGTTCTGCACTTCTTCCCTCCCCTGGCCCTTGCTGGGATGGTAATGTCTCCCTAAAGCCATGATGCCTGCCCCCACTTTTTATTATTTCCTATAACCCTGCCCGCACCTTCATGAATGAAACTCTTTTCAGTCCTCCTTTTAAATAATGTGCCACCCATTTCCTGATCTCAGAGATTCTTTCAGTTGTCATGTTAATTTCCATAGCTCAATACAGTTGTCATCTACATTACTCAAAGGGCACAATACTGCCCTTAAGTTATTTTGTTATTTTTTTAAACTCTTAGCCTTTTCTTCTAGTTGAATGCATGCAGCTAAGGCCAAGAGAGATTTGACTAAAAGTAAAACAACAACAACAGCAACAAAAAACAACTCCACGGCCAAAACCGGTTTGGCTCAGTGGATAGAGCGTCGGCCTTCGGACTGAAGGGTCCCAGGCTCGATTCCGGTCAAGGGCATGTACCTTGGTTGCAGGCATATCCCCAGTGGGAGAAGTGCAGGAGGCAGCTGATCGATGTTTCTAACTCTCTATCTCTCTCCCTTCCTCTCTGTAAAAAATCAATAAAATATAAAAAAAAAAAACCACAACTCCACAAGATTTCCTTTAAAACTTTGGATAGCTATTGCCAACTTTGTTTCCATACTGTTTGTATCAATTTATCATCTCACCAACAATCTGTGAGATGGCTTGGCTCCCCACACTCCCATCAGCACAATGTGTTGATCTTTGCCAATCTGATAGGTGAAGTATGGATGGCATCTCATCATTTTAATTTACATTTCTCTTCTTATGAATATGGTTTCATATGTCTAAAGCTATTTGTATTTCCATTTGTATGCTCTATTTGGTTGGATTCTTGGTCAGTTTTTTAATAGGAGTTTGATTTTATCAATTTACAAAGGCTCTTTATATATTAAGAAATTTAGTTTTTTTTGTATTTCATGTGTTAAATATGCATTTTTACAGTTTGTCATTTTTATTTTTTGTTGGCTTTTTTCATGCAGACTTTTAAAAAATACAGTCAAATTTGAATTTTCTCTGTGTGACCTCTGAGTTTGTGGTAGGCATAGAAAGGCTTTCCTGACTCCAAAATTATAAAAACATTCCCCCATGTTATTTTCTAGTATTTTTATGATTTGATGCTTATTTGGCTTATAGGGAGATAGGACTCTACCTTTAATATTTTCCTGATGGCTACCTGTTTTTCTCTAGGAAATGACTCTCCAGATATATTGCACATATTTACAAAGATACATATAAAATATATTTATTGTAGTATGCTTGGAATGGATGTGAAATATAGTATGCTTGGATGATGTAAAAATATTGAAAAATATGAAAAACAACCTTTGCATCCTTCAATAGGGAACTGGTTATATAAATTACAGTTCATTCACACACTGGAATAAAATACAGCTGTTTCAAAGAAATGTTCTTTAAGGCTAATATGGAATTCCAAAATTATGTGGTCAAGTTGTCAATCAACCCTAAGGTGAAGAATAGTACTTATACCATTTGTGATTTAAAACATTAGTATAGCCCTGGCTGGTGTAGCTCCTTTGGTTGGGTGTAGTCCTGTGCATGAAAAGGTTGCTGGTTTGATCCCAGTCAGGGCATATGCCTGGGTTGTAGGCTTTATCCCTGGTAGGAGGCATGCAGAAGGAAGCTCTCACATCAATGTCTCTCTCTCTCCCCCTCTTTCTCTAGAAATCAATTAAAAATATTTTTTAAAAGATATAGTATAAACCAAAGCAAAACAAACACACATATAAATACAGAGGAAAGTAGAGACAATGGTAACCTGGAAAAGAGAAACTGGGGGACTAAGAACAGGAGTAGAAGAGAGATTTATTTACTTCTGTCTATATTTTTGTACTGTATTAATGTACAATATTATCAATTTAAACAAATGAAAAATTAAGAGGTATTAAAAACTCAAGTAATTATGTTTTGGTAGTTGATTTAGTACTATAAAAGTAGATTTGTAAGATAATGTCATTTACAGTATTGAAATCTGCCCCTTAGTTCAGCAAAACACTCTTTTAACACATAGGTATGAAAATGTGGATCAGTAGCACCCTCTGCTGGTAGCAGGTTGAAATTTGATGACCCAGAAATCATTAATAAGTCTGTGATTTGTAATTATCAAGTATTCAAATAGTATATCATGAGTAATATTTCATATCATAAATTTGAAAAGTCACTGGGAAATTTCTACAGTTAAAAAAATCACCAATTTTTGCCCGGCTGGCATGGATCAGTGGTTGAGCATCCACTCGTGAACTAGGAGGTCACAGTTCAATTCCTGTCAGGGCACATGCCAAGGTTGCTGGCTCAATCCCCAGTTTGGTGTAATGCAGGAGGCAGCTGACTGATGATTCATTTTTATCTATCCCTCACTCCCTCTTCTTTCCTCTCTGAAATATATAGATAGATAGATAGATAGATAGATAGATAGATAGATAGAGATATAGATATCTACACTAATAAAAGAGAAAAATGGTAATTGGCGTACGACCGCTACCCTTCCCATTGGCATATCCTTATGCAAATTAACTGTCAGCCAAGATGGCGGCCGGCAGCCAGGCAGCTGGAAGCGAACGTGAGGCTTGCTTGCTCCAGTGACTGCAGACTCCAACGTTCCCCGCCTGACTTGCCGGCCTCTGAGCTGGCAGTTTGAAACATTCTAACAAATATAGCCGGCTGGGATCTCAGAGCTGAAGTTATACATTGTTTCGATTATAGAACGGCAAACAAACCAGCAGCGGAAGCCTCAGAGCTAGAGCCAGAGCTAAAGCTGGCCCAGAAGAAAAAAAAAAAAGAAAAAAAGGAGTGGTTGGGAGCTACAGTCAAAACCACCAGCCTGAAAGCAGCCCTCAGCCCTTCACCCAGACTGGCCAGGCACCCCAGTGGGGACCCCCACCCTGAAGGGTGTGTGACCAGCTGCAAACAGCCATCATCTCCTCATCCAGGCTGGCCAGGCACCCCAGTGGGGACCCCCACCCTGATCCAGGACACCCTTCAGGGCAAACCAGCCGGCCCCCAGGCCTCTATCCTATATAGTAAAAGGGTAATATGCCTCCCAGCACCGGGATCAGCGGAGCCGGGAGGCCTCCTGGCACCAGATCAGCATGACAGGGTGCAGCGCCCAAACCCCCTGATCGCCCTGCGGCTCTGTGTGTGACAGGGTGTGGCATCCCAACCCCCTGATCGGCCCTGCTCTGTGTGTGACAGGGGGTGGTGCCCCAACCCCCCCCCCCCACGGGCCCTGCTCTGTGTGTGATGGGGTAGAGCCATAACCTCCCCCATCGGCCCTGCCCTGAGTCTGACAGTGGCAGCGCCCCAACCCCCTGAACCACCCTGCTCTGTGTGTGTCAAGGGGGAAGTGCCCCAACTCCCCTATTGGCCCCTACTCTGTGAGTGACAGGGGGGAGCTCCACAACCCCCTGATCAGCCCTGCTCTGTGCGTGACAGGGGGGAGCTCCCCAACCCCCTGATGGGCCTGCTCTGTGCGTGACAGGGGGCTGCGCCCAACCCCCTGATTGGCCCTGCTCTGTGCATGACAGGGGGGAGCTCCCCAACCCCCCTGATGG